TTATTCTTGTTTTCCCCGAGTTTGCTTAAGCAGTAGGCAAAGATATCGCTAACTCTATATTCCTTTAATGTGCCTCCCAAATCTTTCTCTTCCTTGTGTTGTCACCGTATGGGGCTCTTCTTTCTGTTGCCTTCCAATTGATCTCGTGTCCAGACTGTGCGGTGTGTTCCGCCAGTTCTGGTCTTTCGGTATCCATTTTCCTACAGAGCCTCTGATGTTCCTTTATTCGTGTGCTAATTTTTCTCTATGTTTCGCCAATACATTCATGTTCGCAGGTGCCGCATGATATACAGTAAACTCCTGAATACTCACATTTGTCTACCCTTTCATGTTGCGTTGGTAGACTTGTGAAAAGTGTTGATTTCTCTTTCATGGCCACCTGAATATTTCATTTCGTCAATATTGGACGTAGTTTTTGAGTTAGTTCGCAGGAAGGTAGGCATATCCACTTTTGTGAATCCGTCATCGTCCTTACTGTTCTTTCGTAGTCCCCGTTCTGCCATCGGCTTTTCACGGCTCGTATATTTCTTTCTATTACTTCACTTGAGTAGCCATTGCTGAGGAATATCCTTGTCAATTTGTATAGCTCCTTATCCCAGAATTCTACATCTGTTAGGCATAGGCTTCGGATGATCATGCTCCTCATTATTCCAATCTAGCTCGTAATTGTGATGGGACCGGAAATTGAGTATTATCCCAGCAGAGGACTTCTTTCTGAACAATTTATTTTTGAGCGTCGCATTAGAGTGAATCACTTCAACCTCCAGGAACGGTAACCGCTCACTTCCCTCTGCTTCTATCGCAAATTAAATATTTTCATCAATCTTATTTACAAGCTTCCGAAACTCTTACAGTTTTCTCTTAAATGCGACCAAAGTACTAAGTCATCTTCCAAGTACCGCATGAGCACTTCCGATTGTAGAAGTGCCATCTTGATCTCTGTTGTGATTCCAGAATATCCTCCTCTCGGTACAGGATTTCCAGCAGGGTCTTTAGCGCATTTTCTCCAGAGATATATCGATTCGACATCTGTTTCTTCAGTGCCATGTTTTGGATTTTTTGATACATTTCATATGAATGTTTCACCGTGTTTGATAGCCTTTCATTTAATTTCTTGAGCTTCGAACATATAAACTTTGCTAATTTGTGTGTTGCTTAATACTTTTTGTTGACTATCAGCCTTAGTGGCTCGCCTTATTTGCGTATCTTCGGTAATCTGTAGGCTGTTGGTGGTCATGCATCATTTCTAATGATTGAATTTGTTGTTCATACATCAATTTACCAATTCCTCTGCATATCTTTCATCATGGCACGCAAGATTTCATTGATCTTCATAGTTGGGTCCTTGTTTAGTATACGATATGTGGTACTGTGTTGTAGAATATATTCAATCTCGGTATATTGTTTTGTGTCCATATCACTGTAGCTCTACCTTTTTCCGCCAGAAGGACGAATAGTTCCTTTGTTTACAGGGTTTTGCGTATCACAGCAAATCTGTTCTTGTGTGTAGGCCCCTGATATGTCAAGATCTTTGGAAATAGTTCCATCTTAATTTCCCGTTTTGTCTCCTCAGAGAACTTGTCGGCGATATTAATAGCCTTTACCAATATGTCTCATCAAAGGTTTCTGTGATGTTGAATTGAAAAATGACGTATTTTTTTCAGGAACGCGGTTGTTTTGGGATTGAGAACAATTGATGATAAGTTTAGTACTTTTTTCCTATCCTCGTGCTGACCATTAGATGTTGTCCCCTCGGAAGCCACTTCAACTGGGCGTACTGGCTTCAACTTAGGCTGTCTTATAATCCCAAACTCACGCAATTTATCATCATGCCGTTTTGTTATTAAGTCAGAAATTCTACGTGATTTCCTTTCGGTCATGCTCTGGAGTTTTTAAAAATCTTCTGGAGACAGGATCCTGGCCAAATCACGCCGGAGCTTTGATTTAATATCTATAAACTTAAAAAACTTATTCCGTTCAGTATCATAGGTCTCATTTAGTTTCTGAATAGAAGCCTGGTGGAGATACTCATTAACCTTATTCGAGTAGTAGGGTCTATTAAGGTCACAGAACTTGCGAAGTGACACAAAGAGGCATACTGGCCGTAAAAAGCCGATGGTAGAACGGGGACTATGAAAGAGCAGTATGGAAGATGATGGATTCACAAAAATGGATATGCCTACCTTCCTGCGAACTAACTCAAAAACTACGTCCAATATTGACGAAATGAAATATTCAGGTGGCCATGAAGGAGAAATCAACACTTTTCACAACTCTACCAACGCGACATGAAAGGGTAGACAAATTTGATTGTTCAGGAGTTTACTGTGTATCATGCGGCGCCTACGATCAGAAATATATTGGCGAAACAGGGAGAAAAATCAGCACCCCGATCAAAGAACATCAGGGGCTCTGCAGGAAAATGGATACCGAAAGACCAGAACTGGCGGAACACACCGCACAGTCTGGACACGAGATCATTTGGAATGCAACAGAGCCCCATACGGTGACAACACAAGGAAGAGGAAGATTAGGGAGGCTATTGACATCTTTTGGGAGAAAAATTTAATGAATATATGCGCGATATATTTGCCTACTGCTTAAGCAAACTCGGGGAAAACAAGATTAAAGCAAAACCAGCAAAAAGGAGACTCCTGGATCAAAGATCTAGCGCTAAGCGCAGGAAAAAGGATCGCGATGAACAAAGTGGGGGCAGAGATTTTCGAAGGCTTGAGTCGGATCAGCCGATAGAAAGAGAGGGGTCGTGGTAAATAGTAAATGTGATGAGGCCACACTAGATTTTCCACAAAAAGGCACACATTTTGTCGAGTGGAATGTAAACAAGTGAGAAGTTGTGATAGGGCGGCAGTAGGATAAGAGGGTAAAGAGTAGAAAGATAGGCGAGGACAGAAAGAGGAGTGATATTGTAACCGTTTTCGGCAGAACGTTTGTCGAGGGATTGACTTCACTTGTCTTTTTGACGAGTTAGTAGCTTGGTGCGGAGAATAGCAAACTCACTAAAGATGCCGACTACGATGCCGGTGAATCGTTTGAGAATGTACCAAGTCCATTGTCTGATGCTGGGAATCATGACAACTACTATGGCAGACGTCTTTGAACTAGGTGAGTTCTACTAAGTCTCCCTGACAGCAAGGCCAAGTTTCGACAACTAGGTTAACCTACTTCTATCCTCGATTTGCCTGTTTACTTTTTTTGTTATGCAATTTTTCACTTGCGCATTCACTTAGCGTCTTGTTTACCTACGAATTATTTCCTTTTATCTCCGTAAAATCAGCTGCTTCATCATCTAATCGAGCTGCGTCCAATCGGTCAACGTTGCGATCTTCTTTCGCTCCTTCTCAATTTCACCTCTGTGGAGCCAGCCGAGATACGAAACGCGGCTATTGCGGCCACTAAGGATTTGGCCGGGTTGGGTTTGCCCTGGAGACAGCGAGTTGAGGTAAATTAGACATATGATTTTATCCAATAAAATTTCGTCCTTCAGAATATTAGCATTGCACTTTTCTAAGATTTTAATCAGAGAAAGTTTTAGATATTTTTACTTGGCTCCTCACTCAGGATCACATGTGATTTGAAACAAGTGAATATTGGCACTTATTTGTGATGCTTCTATTCCTGCTAGAACAAACATGTCTTATCGAGTATTTTTAGCACAAGACTCTCTTTCCCCCATCTTGTACTGGCTATACTCTCATTAATGACAAATAAATTCAAATGATTTTCGAAGATATGAAGACCAAGATGGTGTGTCTTCCGGTATGGTCGCGGTTTTACCTTAGATTTTTAGTAGTGAGTTGACCTCGTTGTCGCAACTTGGTTTTCTTGTCCGGGAGACTTAGTAGAGCTCACCTAGTGCGAGGTCCTCTGCCGTAGTACTTAGCATAATTCCCCTCATCATACAGTGGACTTGATACATTCTCAAACGTTTCGCCGGCATCATCAGTGAGTGCCATTATCCGCACCAAGCTACTAACTCGTCAAAAAGACAAGTGAAGTCAATCCCTCGACAAACGTTCTGCCGAAAACGGTTATACTATAATTCTTCTTTCTTTCCTGGCCTATCTATCCACTCTTTACTATCTAATCCAACTGCCGCCCTATCACAACTTCTCACTTGTTTACATTCCACTCTTCAAAATTTATGCCCTTTTGTGGCAAATCTAGCGTGGCCTTATCACACTTGCTATTTACCCCGACCCTCTCTTTCGATCGGCTGATCCGACTCTGACCTCCTATTCGGACCTCGCTAATTGTCTTGAAGATCCGTTTTTTATCTTTCTGCTTGACAGATTCTATTCGGTTCCAGTCCCAGTGTGCGTTTTACTTCTGGCGCTAGTTCTCAAGGCCCTCGGAAATGGAGTATTATCCCCGCATATGACTTCTTTCTGAACAATTTCTTTTTCAGCCTTCCATTAGAGCGCATCACTTCAACGTCCAGGAACTGTCACTGCTCACCTTCCTCTACTTCCATCGTGAATTGAATTGTTTCAGCAATCTTGTTTACAAATTGCAGAAATTAATCTAGTTTTTCTCTTCCATATGACCATAGTGCGAAGTAATCATCCAGGTATCGCATGAGCACTGTCGGTTGTATCGGTGCCGTCTTGAAGCTCTCTTTTATTTCGTTCATGTCTACGTTTACCAAAAGTGTTGAGAGCGGCGATCCCATGGGAAGTCCAAATATTTGTTCATTATTGTTCCCGTTGAATGTAAAATAGGTTGTCCTCATTGTCAAGTTGATTAGTCTTGTTAACGACTCCCTACCGATCCGTTGTGATTCAAGAATATCCTCCTCTCGATACAGGATTTCCAGCAGGGCAATTAGCGCATTTTCTACAGTGATATTTTTATACATGATGTTATTTATTTGTGTTACTTCTATCCCTGCTAGAACTAACATGTCTTATCGAGTAATTTTACCTCAGTCTCTCTTTCTCGTATATTGTAATTGCTATGCCCTCATTGATGACAAATAACTTTAAATGATTTCCCGATCCTTTGCTAGAACTATGCAACCGATCAGCTCTATCATCTTCTGTTGCCACGTCCCCCTCTCGACCTCTTCGCATTTCGAGCCACTAGTGCAACTAGCACATTTTCTACCTCGGCTGGACCTGGTACCGGTGTCGGGTCTGCTGGAGCAGCCGCTGCTCGCCTGGCTGCCACCGTTGGAAATGAATGGACCGAAGGAGCCTGTCTTGCCTGTCTTTATCTATATTTGGCCCTTATACCGGAAAATCCCGGACTACTTAATACGTGAGTCTCAGCTTACCCAGTTTGTGAAATATTAAATCAGAGGAAAAGAAATATCAATGTGAACAAATATATAATTTTTCAGTGACTTATACATAGACATGTGTGGAAATTGTGTTAAGTGAAAATATATGAAGTAAACACTATAATCAGCAATTACCTAATCACAAAATTAGACAATAATGGTGAATAATCAATGTTAATAAATTACTTACATTAAAAATATAATGGTAGATAAATTTTCAAGTGGGCCAGATGGTGTTTTACAGATAGTCAGAAGAATGGAAATTTATTGGTATTCAGAAGTGGCTTGATCACGTTTTTGCAACTTGGTC